ACACTGACACACATGCACAGATCCACAAATACTGACACACATGTATAGACACACACACACAGTTCCACAAACACTGACACACATGCAGAGATCCACAAATACGGACACACATGCATAGATACACAGACAGAGATCCACAAACACTGTAAGGCATGTACAGATCCACATACAGAATCACAAACACTGACACACATTGTTTCTAAAGAAAAGGGAGAACACAACTTTTAGCAAACTGTTGTGCAGGGTGTGAAAAGTGCTGTGACGCTAATACAGTGGTTTTCAAAGGCACCAAGAGAAGCCTTTAATCGACCCCATGAAACTATCTGTGGGATATCTATTTGTCCCCTCCCCAGTTACTACTTCCGTGGGTTTTCACAGATGGATAAAAGTCTTTTACTCTAAAATCTTGTTTGTATTCATTATTTCCTTCAAAGGATTTCTAAAAAATCAAGAGAGAAAAATACATATTTTTATCTAATTTAAAACTTTCAGATGATTATTTCAAAATGCATTTTTTTTTTTGTTTCATAAGTGGTTTTTGACTTCCTACTGGGTTTAAAATGTTTTGCTGCTTTAGAATTGTGACTATAATGATATCGATGTGGATTCTTTTCTTTAGTTTTTATTCATCCCTGCAACAGGTGTTGGTCATTTTACTCAATCTGATGTAACTGTACCTTAGATGCCTCCACTATGAGTAGATCATGTAGTGAGTCATGTTGCACCACCCTAGTTTCCTGTCTGGGGACAGTTTCCTGGCTCCCCCAGAAGAGGGACACCAGGGAACACAACCTAAATGGCAGAAGAGGGACAATAGGGATTGTCCCATCTAAGGCCTTGTTTTAACCCCTTAATAACACATGACATGTATGACATCTCATGATTCCTTTTTATTCCAGAAGTTTGGTCCTTAAGGGCTAATAAGCTTTCCAAATGATTCAATGGAAAAAATGTTCCAAATTATTTATCTACAGTATTTACCATTAAATGAACACTTTAGGGTCAGGAAGTCAAACATGTATTTCTGACCCTATAGTGTTCAAACCACAATCTAGCCTCCCCTCCCCACCTCCCCCCGGCCTCCCCTTGCCCCCCTAAATATAGTAAAATAGTACTTTTATTCCAGTCTGCTGCTGCTGACTCTGCCCCTAATATGATGTTCTGAGCCAATCACAATGCTTTCACATAGCAAAGCATTGGATTGGCTGAGACTGTCAAGGATCAGGGGCAGAGCCAGAACAAACTCTGTTTGCAAGAGGATGCCTCAGTGGGTAAATGACTCCACAGCAGTCAATGGGCCAGCCATTTTGTTGTAGTAATGGGCCGGCTGGGGACATCAGATCTTTCCATGCAGCTCAGCATAGTTTTATTTGATTAATAGTGCCAACCAAGAGGCCAGCAAAAACAACACAAGCTGGCATCTTTAAACCCTGACACTATATCCAACTACATGAATCAGACATACCTTGTGAAGCTACTCACAGGTAGGCACACATTCACAAACTTGCCATACACACAAACAAATTCCTTTACAGTCACATGTATCCTCAAATTCCACACATGCTTGTATTAAAAACTGTTACGGCTTCCCGTTCTTCTGCTTGCATGGCCGCACATAAACTAAGCAGCCATGCTGACAAAGATATTGTAAACTTACCTTGGTCGCGGCAAACCGCTGCCCGACCTCCTTCCGTTCCGGTCCCCAGCGAGTACGACATTCCTAGAGATGATGGCCACTGTGGTTCCGGTTTTAATAATAGACTAATCTTCGCCCATATCAAAGATTGCGCCAACGTGTGTGCAACGTCACGTCATAGACGCGCATACACGTTTTGGGGTCAGAGGCCAGAGACAACCAATTACAGCCTCAAGAGGGTTATTTAAACCCAAATTACCTTTTGGTCAGTGCCCTGTCGTGGTTACTACTAGCTGGTTATCCAAGAGTGTGTTCATGATCGTGTTTTTCAGTTTTTTTACTTTGGCTTCGTTTTGACTTACCTGATTTCTGGTACCCTTGACTTTTAGTTTTTCCTTATCGCTGTGTCTCGTTCTGTGTCCCTGACCTCAGCTATGTTTCTGACTATTCTCGGGTATGTTAAGTCCAGCCATTCTAAGGTCCGGTAAGATGTTACCCTTAGTTCAAGGGTGTGATACTATTCTGCGTGCTGGATAAATATAAATATAAAATGACACAAACAAATGCTCACATACATTCACAATTACAGTAAAATGCAAACACACAAATGCTTTTGCAGTGACATTAAAACTCACTTGGATCCAGGTTGGGGAGATGGAGGTTGGGGAGAGTGCCCTGAGGGGAAGACATGAGAAACACGAATCACACAGGATTCACATTACTCAACAAAACTCTTGATCCGGGCTGGCTAATAATGCTCAGCAGTGTTTCATAATGAAGCGCTGCACATACAGAATCCAGACACCATGACTACTTTAAATCAGTGACATGGCCATGGTGCTTGGATAAGCCTTTGAGTGGCAAGTCACTCATGGGGCAAATGAAGGGGAAATGAACTGGTGGATTTGTAGAAAATCCGTTTGGTGTTTTAATTCAATTATTTTACCCCGTCAACAAAACTCTGGCAATGTAGAGAAATTCACAAATAAAACTTTGAATCTCTGAGAATACAATGCAAATTTTGGGTTCATTGATAACATATTACACTTATCTCGTCATTTTACTTATAAATGATAATGATCTCATTCATGTGAAAAATTCACAATATTCCCAGAGGAAAAAAAAAACCAATTACATATAATCAATAATTTTTCATTTATTTATTTATTTAACTCAACATAATATTCTAAGCTGTAAATTAATATCTTGTAAAAGTTTTATCGGACAGGTCGATATTCTCACTAGCCCGTGACTAGTGGCAAGTAAAAATGTTGAGTCTTGGTGGCAAGTACCTTCACCTGCTGCATGTTACCCTAAATATCTGCTTAAATGAACCTTTTGTTACTCTGAGCGCCTTCAGCATGCACATGCTACTATAACCTCGATTTAATATTGTTCGATAAGCTTTCGAAATGATTTAATATTTTTGGTTTAACTTTTCATTTTTTCCCCCCAACATATTAAAATATCAAAATATATATCATATTGAAAAAAAATCAATATATAAAAGATATTTTAAAATGAAAATATTTTTCATAATATTAAATTATTTTTCCTTTTTACCAACAATATTTAATCGAGGCCCATGTGGTAAAGGAAAATAGCATTGCATACGTATAAAAGTTAACTAAAACTGATAGAGACCCCCATATAACAGAGGCCCACGGTAAGTATGTGTTCTATAAATTACTCCTTGCCAATCGTACTAATAGGAAATGGCTGAAGGTATGCCATACCAGCCCTTTGGCCAGTGTAGGCCAACGCATAGGTCAAAACACTAACATTAATATAGAAAACTGATATTAGGTATGAAATATATAGTAAAAGAAACAAAAATAAATACAATAATAAGCTGTTTCTTGGACATAAGAACTTTGGATACATTTAATAATTGGTGAAACTCAACATGTTGAACAACTAGGACCGTATGGAGAATTCTGCAGAAAGAGATTGAGTCCAATAGTGAAATCTAATTTGATATACGATCAGAAAAACACACAGATTCCTTGTTTTGTAAACTAATTTTCTATATAAGACATTAACACTATTATAGGTGTTGGGGCTCCTATTCTCAACCTGGGGAGAAGTTTCTTGAGTCAATGCATCACTAGGAGGCGATGCCGATAGGAGCAGAGCGGAGTATTGCGGTGCATGCGCTAAAGCTTCCCAATGTTTTCCTCCGGGAAAGCGTTGGATTGTCGGAGATCATCAAGTTTGATTATCTCAGACAAGAGGGTGGAGGCAAGGGAGGCCGGTGACCTAAACAGTGGTTTAGACCTGTAGCGTCAGGAATACACGTTTGTATTCCTGACACTATAATGTTACTTTAATAACCTTATAAAAAATTGACTAACTTAAAGCATCCGACAAATTTGCTCCAAACATGCTTCCTTCAGTTGCAAGAATGTGGTGAACGCTGGTTCAAGCAGACTACTTAAAAAAAAAAAAATGCCCCTAAATAACTGTTAGCAAAACGTACCTAAACACAAAATGAGGAGATGTGTATGTTTAGCAGAATAAAATTATAACCCCTGCAAGCAAAATAGGATTTTAACCCTTTCATTATGGGACTGTAACAAATCACTGCACAATTACACGTGTCAGCATTGCATCAGGGTATTATTTTTTACATTAAATGGTTAACAGATAATTAATGTATTTTATAGAACAGCAGCTTGATAATAAAGCAGCAAAAGTAATTTGCATAAAGCAACTGTGATGTCATGATATCATGATGTCATAATAAGGAGAATTCCAGGCTTGTCTGTGATGAAAAGCAGCAAAGTTCCACAGAGCATTAGTGGTTGGAATCCAAGACAGAAACAGCAAACTTGTGACTGAAGAGAAAACAAACTCGGCTCTGCCAATATCTAAAGGTGAGCTGCAGCGCACTGTGAAGGTCTAGCAAAACAAGAGTTTTTCTTACGCCATGAAAGACAAGAAGATGCTGGTGAACTATTGTGAGACAATCTGGCAGTCAGGCAAAAGGAAGATAAAGAGATCGTATCAGGTCAGTTATTGCCCAGCCATATCTGGACAAGTTGGAAAAGATGAATTTGAGTTTCTGAAGAAAAAGCTGCGCTCTGAGAGCTACAAGAAAGAGAGGCCATGGGATGGCACACGTTTCAGAGGACATAATCACCAATTCAGAGAAGAAAACCCAAGGAATGATTTTCTGCATGCAAATAAAAGGTACAAGTGGGAAGATGACCGAGAAAAGAGGAATGAGAGCCCAATGTATCATGGTGGTAAGAGGAAGTGGTGGGGGAGTAGCAGAGGTCGGGGAGGTAAGATGAGCAGAGGCAAAGGAGGACTTGGCCACCATGGAGGATGGAATTCAAGAAGATGGCCCACTCCTCCCAGAATGACATCGGAGGAACTCGATATGAAACTGGCTGCCTATACCACAGAAGATCAACCAAATACTGATAGAAAAGTCAACATCGTCAAAGCAGAAGGCAATTTAATTGAAAACATGCCCATTGTTGAAAGTCGTCCTGAGGCAGAGAAGCATACTGGAATTTTCAACAATCAATATGCAGAGCAGTCTGGCAGCATGTCCACCTTTATTACAAAGAATTGTAAAATGGAATAAAACATTTAATTAAACAGTAAATGAGATGAAATATATGCAGCCTTGTATTTTGTATGTTTAAGTTGTGTTACTATACCTAGGCCAAGATTTAATATTTTTGGATTCACTTTTAAAATGATTTAATCTTTTTTTGATAAAGTTTTCCATTTTTATTTTTCAAAATATGAATAATTTATCATATGAAAAGCATATATCAGAAAAAAGTTAATATTTTCTAAATATTACATTATTTTATAAATGTATCAAAAAATAGAAAACATTTTGAAAAGCTTATAAAAAATGTATAGTTTAAGGCACTATTTTTGTTAAAATTATAGTTCTGTCTGTGATTAAAGCTTTCCCGGACCAACAGAAGGGAACTATTTACTTACCTTCAAATACCAAATGTGTGTAGAATGACAGCACCAGAGTGTATGTATGGAGCATGCTAGTGTGTTCCCCATAATGCAGAATTTGTGTGCTCCCCATGTATACAAGTGCCCCAACCTACTATCAGAGAAGAGTAAAAGTCCTCTCCTCCGAAACATATTGAATGAGGCCACCATATTCACCACTACATGTAGTGCTCTAGTGATCTTTGCTTTCTATCGAGGCACATACCACCACATTTAGTGCTCTAGTGATCTCTGCTTTCTATTGAGGCACATACCACCACATTTAGTGCTCTAGTGATCTCTGCTTTCTATCGAGGCACATACCACTACATGTAGTGCTCTAGTGATCTCTGCTTTCTATCGAAGCACATACCACTACATGTAGTGCTCTAGTGATCTCTGCTTTCTATCGAGGCACATACCACTACATGTAGTGCTCTAGTGATCTCTGCTTTCTATCGAGGCACATACCACTACATGAAGTGCTCTAGTGATCTCTGCTTTCTATCGAGGCACATACCACCACATTTAGTGCTCTAGTGATCTCTGCTTTCTATCGAGGCACATACCACCACATGTAGTGCTCTAGTGATCTCTGCTTTCTATCGAGGCACATACCACTACATGTAGTGCTCTAGTGATCTCTGCTTTCTATCGAGGCACATACCACTACATGAAGTGCTCTAGTGATCTCTGCTTTCTATCGAGGCACATACCACTACATGAAGTGCTCTAGTGATCTCTGCTTTCTATCGAGGCACATACCACCACATTTAGTGCTCTAGTGATCTCTGCTTTCTATCGAGGCACATACCACCACATGTAGTGCTCTAGTGATCTCTGCTTTCTATCGAGGCACATACCACCACATGTAGTGCTCTAGTGATCTCTGCTTTCTATCGAGGCACATACCACCACATGTAGTGCTCTAGTGATCTCTGCTTTCTATCGAGGCACATACCACTACATGAAGTGCTCTAGTGATCTCTGCTTTCTATCGAGGCACATACCACTACATGTAGTGCTCTAGTGATCTCTGCTTTCTATCGAGGCACATACCACCACATGTAGTGCTCTAGTGATCTCTGCTTTCTATCGAGGCACATACCACTACATGTAGTGCTCTAGTGATCTCTGCTTTCTATCGAGGCCCATACCACTACATGTAGTGCTCTAGTGATCTCTGCTTTCTATCGAGGCCCATACCACTACATGTAGTGCTCTAGTGATCTCTGCTTTCTATCGAGGCCCATACCACCACATTTAGTGCATTACTTGCAGTCTGGTGTGCATGAAGGAGTAATGAAAGGGAAAATAATAGTTTATACCTCAAAGAAAATCCTCTGATTAGTTATGGAGGATGGAGGCGTAGCAGTATAAATGATACATGTTCCTGAAAGTCACAGACTGCTTCCAACATTTCCACAATGGGTTAGTCCATGAACACCTATCTAGGAGACAAAGTACTCTAGCTCACAAATCTTATTCTCAGCTCAGTGTTGACCTATGTCAAATTTAAAAATTTAAATTTGCTAAAATAAATGTCATTGTGATGATCAGTGTATGCAAATGGGACAGTTTAATTGATTCCAGAAATGTCTTCTTCACCAACTTGTTCAGTATCAACAGATCTGTGAAATGAAAGAACTAGTACGCCACATACGTTCTCAAGAAAGGTATTTGAAGTGTTGCAAAATTATTATGGGTATTTTTTTATTTATACCACATTAGAGCCGGATTTGTCCGCTTTCACCACCTGTGTGGACAATGCCAGGCCATACAATGCTAACTATGATAGCCATTTGTACATTCTGAAAGGGGAGCATGAGACAAATCCTTTCTTGTCTTTTATAGGAGTCAAGCAAGAGGCCACAAGGCCCCTCTTTCAAATTAGGGTCCTATATACCCTGCCATATGTCAATTGATTGTCATCGAAATGGCAATCAGAGCTAGATTTCCAATAGGGGGGCAAACACAGCCACCTTAAGTTCAGCCTCAGACAGGGGCTTGGTGCTCCTTTGTCTGGTCCAGGAGCTCAGACTCTGGCTGTTAGTGGACCATTCCTCAGTGATAAGGGAGATCAGATGATCTTCTTGCTTGTCCCTGTGACTCCTTACCTGCTTGAGGGAGCTTTGCAATCTGCACCAATATCAAGAGCAGATCACTTTAAGATCTTCCTCACAGTTCCGGCCCTCAGTCAAAGACTCAATACTGGTGTAGACCACAAAAGTGTTTCAGCTCCTCTTGAGCACCGCAGGAGAGATGTGATGGTGCAGTAATGCTATTATTTTGGACAAAGACATATTTAATTCTATTGTGCCAAACTGTGGATATTTAGGCAAACTGGGGTGTCTATGCATCAACATGTTTAGATCACATGGGTGATAAATGGTCCTATGGAATATGCTTTTAAAAGTATTTTTTTTTTCTGCCAAAAATACTAGAGATGTATCACAGTCAGCACTATTGATAATTGACCCAAAGGCTACCTGAAGATGACTTTAAGATGCATTGGCTGATAGGGGGGGGAGGGGCACAATGGAACTATGACTATTACTGACTATATGGTACTGTATATAGCTGTCACTAGCTCTCCTTTCCTATAAAATTAGTTATCTATACTATATGTGGTTTCTCCAGTGAGGTATTAGCTCTATCAAGTCTTCAGTTTCTAATTACGACCTTGATTTAATATTTTTGGATAAGCTTTTGACGTGATTTAATATTTTTGGGTAAACTTTGTAATGTTTTTTTTAAATATGAAAATCTAAAAAAAAGAAAATCAAACTCTAATAAAAAATAATCAATATTTAAAAATATATATATTTAAGATATTTTTCAAAATATAAAATTAATTAAAAAGTGTATTCAAAAATTTGAAATCATTTGTAAAGCTTATACAAAAATAATAAACTGAAGTCTACAGTAGAGTACTTTTTTGCTCAGACATATCAAATATCAGCTTTGGGTAAGCTTTTTAAATGATTTAATAATTAGGGATAAACACTATTATTATTTAATATTTTGATATTTAGATTTTTTTTTTTTAAATTATACATTTTTATACTTATATCATAATAAAAAAAACTATTAAAAAAAGTATCTTAAAATATTAAAACATTTCAACGACTAACTAGATTAAGAGTCTACAATATATTAATATATATATAAGGCCAATACCTGCACAAATGTTCCAGCTTGCAATTTCACTGTGCAAATATAGATTAATACGTGACTCTGCTACAGCTCGAAGACCCCACCTGTTCTTAATCTGCCTCTGTACAACAGGGACAAGCAACTCTTAGCATTTCAGCTGTTTGGATTTAGCGGCCTGTGTGTCATGGGAATTACAGTCCTCAACAGATGGAGTATGAAATATTTTCTCCACTATATAACTGCAAATTGAGAGATGCCACCTTCTGCCCCAAGGGTTCTTAATAAACGACTCACGGCAACTCAAGACGTATAAAACCATCTGGTATCCGGACATGACCGTCTTCTCCTGTCTAAACCAAAATTAATACAAGACATGGTATACAAATGAGATTATGGTATGCCAAATGAGTTCACAGAGTCCTGCTATTAATGACTTGCATTTCTTTTCTCATATACAAACTTCTGGAGTAATTAAACCCGTTTTATTTTTACACATTCCTATGTAGGATTTGTGGTAGGACATAGGAGCCTCTTATTTATCCTAGAAGCTCATGTCAGTTCCCAGAAACAGATGGATTATAATATTGTTAATCTGGAAACACTGTGTTAGTGGGATTTGCTAAAAACAGTGGAATGATGGTGAACACCGTCAAAGATGACTGGATTCCCAACGCAATAAGTTTATGGGCTCCTACCATCTAGATCAGTAATTGTGAGTATTTATGAACCCAATGCCATATCAGATCAACCTTCTCCTCTCTCTTCTGTCAATCTAAATCCCATAGAATACAATCTTGCTCGTGGACTTTCTGTTGTCTACTTCACTTTATGGGCTGTCCTTTATGTGAGGTATCATATCAAGTTATCTAATGATGAGCTCATGGTGCTTTACATATTTTAACAGGACACATTTCTTTAACCCCCTCCTCTAGCAGGACTGGTGTGATGTCAAAGGTCTCTGATTGTAGATGCTGGCCCCGTGCCAATGATTTGCCAACATTACATACATTAGAGAAGATTTGAAAAAGTGTTGCAAGTGGAAAAATATGACAAATTCCTGAAGTAGTACAGCGGGATCTTTGTGTCACTGTCAGAACTTTGTCCAAGGATTTCTTTTTGACGTAATGACATATTTTCTGTGTTGTGACAAACTGCATTTGTTGTAAATAAAGCTGGGAAACTGTTCCAAAAATGATGCGTTTCCCTTTTCATACGTTTTCCTAGAAAAAGCTAAAACCCGTGTAGGAAATCTTGAAAGGAACATCAACTAAGAGTTAAGGTCAGATGTCTTTTGACACAAATTGGTCTATGTCCCCTGTTACTGATATTACTCTATTGCAGGAGTAAGCAAGATTCAGCACTCCTGACGTCGTGGATTACATCTCCCATAATAGTCTTACAGCCATAATGTTGGCAAAGCATTAAGGGAGATGTAGTCCACAACTTCTGGAGTGTCGAAGGTCGCCTATC